CGCTGCGGCTCTGGGGACAGAGAGCAGACAGGCGCGACTCGGTCGGACGGTTCCGCCTCCGACAGGGCCTCTGCCATCTGCAGCGCTCAGCTGGTTCGTCTCTTCTACTGGGGTCACTGATTCGTCTCTTCTACTGGGGTCACTGTTTTTTGCTTAAAAGTCACTAACACAGTCACCGTGCACGTTGCACGACTGTATACACGCACTGCTTGGCCTGCTCGCCACTTCCATGGCCCTGCTCCCAACTTTGCTTTTTTCAACTCTGATAGAAAACAACGACCCAGGGGCCAGAGACAAAGACTCTGCATCCCTCCCACAACGCAGGAGCCAGACGGCAGCACCCCTGTCCTAAGGGCCGGGCCCACGGAGCAGAGCCTGCCGGGCACAGCACGCCCGGGCGGAGAATCCCCAAGCCCAGAAATAGAGCCTTTCGCCTTTGGGAGCAAACCTGCCTCAACTTGTCCCTCAGACATGGTCTCACTTCCACGGGGCAGCGGAGAACCTGCCTGGACAACACGCGGCTCCTATCTCCCGGGCTGTGTGCTGGGAACATCCCTGAGACCTGGCCTAGCATGACAGTCGCAAAGAGCCTGCGGCACCGTCTCCAGCAAGCAAGAGTTACGCGTAGACTGGGGAGTTCAGCTGTTTGTTTGGGACAGTGAGTGGCAGACGAAGGCATCGGTGGTTGGCCGGTCTTCGGGATGTAGGATTCTCCCATATTTCACATGAACTAGAAGCTCTGGAAACAAAAGAAACATCATAAAATCCTGATATGAAGAAACTCCTGCATCCAAGTCAGTCATTTCATACAGTCTGAGAATGAGCTAACAGAGTGATGTTAACATTAGTTAGCCAAGATATACATTAAGAGGAAAATGACTTTATGATGACAGAGATCTCTCGTCACGAAAAGGTGTACCCCATAATGAATGCACAACATTCACATTCGTCTATGCGCCCCAAGCCCGAATCAAAAAGTAAGAGCTAGTACTACGTAGAAAGGCATTGAAATGTTACTCGCAAGACTTGACAGGTCAAGTCACAGATAGCTATTTACATTCCTTTGTGACCAGATTATAATCTTCACGTACACGCACTTGAATTCTGTTTCAAGACATAGCTACACCATGGAAAGCCTGACTGGACACCACTCCGCCTCAGAAGACCCCAGGGGCCCACAGGGGTCGGGCCCAGAGGGGCTCTGACCCGGAGGGGGTCGAAGGTGCTTCAGCTCTGGCAGTCAGAGTGGGAACAATGGGCCAGACACAGTGGGGCGTGCCCAGAGCCACACGCTCATGGAGGAGGAAGGAAGCCTGAGGCCAGACAGCTGCCCCCTGAGGCCCTGAGGGGATGGCCCAGGGATGGGGTCCACACACACCGATTCTGCCGCCCGCCCAGCACGTCTCTGGGCACCAGAGGCCAGTCAGTCCTCCTGGTCGCGAGCCCCACTTCCTGCCGTCACTGCGTGGGTGGGGCGCCAGGGCTGGCTGGCCCCGTGATGCGCCTCTAGGCTGTTTGGACCCCAACAGAGTGGCTGTGTCTTCTGCTAGCGATGACAGGTAGGGTCGGGCAGAAACAACGGAAAGGACCTAATGTTTACTCCAAGCTGGGGAGGTGGGTGCAGGCGGCCCGGGGCTCTGGGGACACGCGATTTGCGCACCAGAACGTGAGGGTGAGCAGCCGCACTGCTGACCGTGCAGAGACACCTGCACTAGCTCAGAGGACGAACAGGTTGTGCTGCACCATGTCACAGAGGAGTGTGCACTCGAGTCTCCCATCAGAGACCTTTAGGGCTGTCTGTGAAGGAAGAAGTGGTTCTCAGAATGCACGACTCTGTGGAGGTCATGGCCACCTGGTAGGAGCTGTGAGCATCTGTCTCCTGGATCGGGAGCCAGCAAGGCTCCGGTTTACATTAATTTCCTGGTTCTTGGCTGCTGGAATCCCACCGCGGGTAGGAGTGACTTGCGAAATACAAAATATATAATGGCCCTGCCTGTGGCGCAGCGGGTCAAAGTGCAGCGCTACGAAGCTGCCACAGCTTCTTCATCGTGAGCCCGATCCCCGGCCAGAGTGACCACAGGGCGCGGCAGACCTCTCCTGTCTCCCCGCTGCCCCCTGAGCAGTGGACTTTGTCCATCTGCCTGTTCTGCTCCCTGCTCTGCCTCTGGTGAATCCTCTCACCGCCCCTGCACCTCTGGCCTGTACCTGTATGCACAAATAAATAATTTTTTTAAAAAAAATAAGCAGACATGAGGGATCCAAGGGGAAGTAGATGCACAAATAAACAATCGATTCATCAATATATTTGCTCCCCCAGTGTCAGTAACAAGACCCCGAGCGTGAGGGTGAACTACAGCTTTGGTCCCCCCATTACACAGAGAGCGTCTTCCTGCTAAAGACCTTTCCAAGAGCTCTTTTCAAGTCTTTGTTCCTCAGGCTGTAGATAAAGGGGTTCAACATGGGGGTCACCACCGTGTACAGCACAGTGGCCGCCGTGTCCTTCTCAGATGAGTGGACGGACGAAGGGTTGAAGTATACCGCGATGATGGTGCCGTAGAAGAGGGCAACCACGGCCAGGTGGGAGCCGCAGGTGGAGAAGGCCTTCCAGCGCCCCTGGGGGGACGGGACTCTCAGGACCGCGCGGGCGATGTGGATGTACGACACCAGGATGCAAACAAACGGGGTGATCATGATCAAGGCACCCTCGGTCTGAATCGTCATGTCATTGACATACGTGTCGGAGCAGGAGAGCTTCAGGAGGGGCGTCACGTCGCAGAAGAAGTGGGGGATGGCGTTGTCCGCACAGAACGAGAGCCGAGACATCAGCAGGGTGTGCAAGAGGACGTTCAGGTTGGCAGTGACCCACGACACGGCCACCAGCAGGACGCACAGCCGCGGCGTCATCTTGCTGGAGTAGTGTAAGGGGTGGCAGATGGCCACGAAGCGGTCGTAGGCCATGACGGCCAGCAGGAAGTTGTCCATGTCCACGAACATGAAAAGGAAGTACATCTGCACAAGGCACCCCGAGAAGGAGATGGTCTGAGTGCCCAGGATGTGGTTGGTCAGCATCTTGGGGACGGTGGTGGAGGAGAAGCAGAGGTCCACGAGGGACAGGTTGCTGAGGAAGAAGTACATGGGCGTGTGCAGGCGGGCGTCCACGCTGATGGCCAGGAGGATGAGCAGGTTCCCCAGCACCGTGGCCAGGTACATGCTCAGGAAGAGCACGAACAGGAGCTGCTGCCGCTCGGGCCGGCTGGACAGCCCCAGGAGCAGGAACTCGGACACGCTGGACTGGTTGGCTCCCCTCATGGGGGCGGCACCAGCCCGGGAGCACACGGAGCCGACAAAGTCAGCCGCCTGGAAAGAAGGGTCAGCGGGTGAGCAGAGAAGCTGCCGCAGCTGCCCCCTGCCTGCGGGTAGCACGGATCCGCCTGCCTGTCCGGCGTCAGGGCTCCGCCCCCCTCGCGGAGCTGACCGGCACCAGCTCCAAGGGACACCAGACAGTGACTGGTGTGTCCACATGTCCTTTGTGTAGTTTTAAAAAGTGTCATCAAATACAGCAGAGACGAGCGTATGCACAGAGCTGCGCCGAGCACCACAGACGCTGGAGAAGGAGTGTGACCAGGGGCTGCGGCCAGGGGCAGAAGGTGGCGCCACACAGGGCCGGCGTCACGCTGCCGCAGGGGGCCTTATGGGGCACGTCTCCGCACCATCATCGCTCGCCACACACCTTTCCCCTTCCCTGTGGCCAGTGCCCCGTCAGCACACGGGCCCGGCCTGGGTGAGGAGCCTCTGCCACCCTGCCGGGGGCCCTGCTCTGGCCACTTGGGGCACACTGGGCTATGCACCCCTGTTCCATCCGTGCAGCTCCCTGAGTGACTGTGGCATGAGCGTGGTGATCAGAGCAACGGGAACAGAGCGGCCCGTGTGTCCCCACAGGGCAGATCCGGCTGGAGGGTTCTCAGAACTGCCCGGAGGCCACTTGAAAGACAGACGGGGGGAGCATCGCCCCCTGCTGGCCTCTGCCCCCCCCAACCGACATCACTGTGACTTACCTGGATGGAGACCTCACGGTCTCGGGCAGAGCTGGGCGCACTGCACGTTTCTGGACGCAGACAGAGACGATGGCGGCCTGTGCGGATGGCCAGCGGAGGGTGCGGGAGCTGAGCTGGGGCCAGGGTGTCTGGTCGCAGCCCTCGGTGCAGGAAGGGTGGGGTGGAATCTTGGACCAAATCTTCACAGAAGCGGCCATGGGGGCCCGTATTCCCTGAGCGCCTCATTAGACACGGGCTGAGTAATTGTCCCTTCTCCTCTTGGGCCTTGTAGCTCCGACGCTGACAATAAAGACCCGTCAGCCCAATTACGTGGCCCTGCTCAGGACTTGGCAACTCTGGCAATGATGCAACTCAGGGGCGATCATCGGCAACAAGAGCTGGCAACCCTGCGTCTCGCCTCCCCCGTCTGGGGACTGTCCCTGCTGGGAATAAGCACACCGTGCGGGGACCACCTGGGGCTCACTCACGCGTTTCTCAGCTCCCAGATCCTCCATGAGGGTCACGTGACCGCGGGCGCGTCACAGCCTTCATGGCATCCCAGGGTCTCGCCTGGTGTAGGTGCAAAGGTAATATCCACCTTGTGGAGTTGTGTGGATTACACAGGGGGCTCCCCCTGGCCGCGTCACCCCAACTCGGCAGTGTTCTGGGCTGGGCCCAGCTGACTCGCGGACACCCCAGAGGCTGAGCGATAGTCACATCTTCACTCGCTGCTCAGACATCTCTGCTCGGGTAAAGATAATGGAAGACAATGTCAGGTGTTTCTCTTCTTACCCAAGTCATTATGATGAGGAGTCACAAGATAAACCTTTTCTTCTGAATTTTGATGGCAGTAAGTGAGGTCGTCAGAGGAGCCCTTGCTGAGTCCACCTATCAATGGAGACATTCACCCAGTGAGGACCCGAACCCCACGTCCACAGGCCCCACTCTGTTGTGCTGAAGACTACGTCTGACCTTTCCCTTAGACTTGACTTTTGCCAAATTAAGGATTTGTGAATAAGCTGACATTTTATTTTTTAAAAGTTTACTTATTTATTTGTGCATACAGAACTGGGGTACAGGCCAGAGGTGTAGAGGTAGTGAGAGGATTTACCAGAGACAGAGTGGGGAGCAGAACAGGAAGATTGACAAAGTCCACTGCTGAGGTGAGCAGCGGGGAGACAGGAGAGGTCTGCCGCGCCCTGTGGGTCACCTCCAGGGCAGGGATCGAAGTTGCACTGAAGTGGCTGTGGCTGGCTTGCAGTGCTGTGTCTAACCCATTGCATCACCAGGGAGGGCCCTAAATTAACATTTTAAAGGCAGAAAAGAGGGTTGCTCCCTCTGGCCACACTTGGCAACAATTTGAGCATCAAAAGATGTGGACCTCTAGTGGGTCGGGAACCCGGGGCGCCTGTGAAGGACACACCAGAGGGCTGACCTCTATGTCCAGCGTGCAGTGAGCCTTTATTTTGCACATTATATACCCTACATTATCAAGCTGAAACAACAGCATATTTGCTTAATCTGTCTAGACAGTCTCCAGCAATAACAACAGCACATCGACAGACTGCAGCTCTATCTCTGCTGTTCTAGTTCTCGGCACACCCTGTCTAGCCCCAGATGGCCGAGCCCTCGCACGCACCTGGACACTTCTCCTGATACGCTCTTTTGCTCTTTCTCAGACGTGGCTGCTTGTTCGCATGACCTGTTTTCTCACATTCGTGGAGCTCAGACCCGGACCCCGAGAGTACCCCCCAAGGGAGCAAAGTCCAGATGCCAGTCAAGGGCATGCCAGAACTCTGCCAGAAGGGCATACCTGCGACTTACTCCATGGAAAGGGACGAATGAGCATAAAACGGGAAATCTTCAAGTCAAATCTTTGTCTATACAAAGACGGGGCAACATACGGCAGCTCACTGACCCTTGAGGGCTGATTTCCCCTGACTTAAGGAGGATGAAACCCCTCCCAGGTTCCGGGGGAGGCACTCCTCTCTCCAGAAAAAACGACACTAAGAGATACAGAACAACTGTGGAGACAGGAACGCATGAGTTTCAACTCCCAGATGGTCGAGAATGACCAGGCCGTCGGGATTGCGCTGGTGGGAACAGGACCCTCACGATGTTCACCTTCGCATGGACGTGTCGCTCCTCGGACAGGTAGCGGCCACTGTGACAGAGGAGCTGCCTCAGGAAGTCCCCACCCACAACCAAGGCCACAGTCTTGTATCTACCAGCGTCACTGAGGGCTTGGCCGTCTCGGGTCATCATGTGACATCATGAGCCTGCCGCGTGACGCAGGTGAGACACAGGATCACCTGGGAAGGACTGGGCAGAGACGCCCCTGGAATCTAATAAGCCCTCTGGATCTAAATTTTGGTTTATTGCAAACATGGGATGTTTGCTATTAAAAAAAAAAAACTCATAAAGAAGCTACCAGACGAATCAAGAAGGTGCGGTTAGGTATAGAACTTTGCCTTTGCTTCTCAGTCAGACTGCATGGATGTGCCAGCCACCTGCGGGGCGTGGGGAGCGCAGTTTCCTGTCTCAGCCGGTCACAGAGCCACTCAGCCTCCCACATCTCCGAGCCCTGCCTCTCCAGAGAAGCATCCAGGCCTTCACCTCACCGCGCAGGGAAGGGGCTGGTCAGCTGCCGGAATCAAGGCCAAGCAGGCCCGCTTGCGCCCCGTGGGGGCGGCCACCCGTCAAGGGAGACGGCAGCGGGCGGTCATATTCGGCAGGACCAAGTCCTTCAGTCCTTCACTGGTGGTGATTTCTGGGCACTCGGGGTGTCCCTCCTAGCCAAGTATCGCTTCTCTGCGGGCTCTTCTGGGGACAAAGTGTGTGTGTGTGAAGATACACGCATGCACACGGGTACTGCGATGGACTGACGGTCTGTGAGCACCCCCGTCCTATACTGAAACCCAACCACCATGTAATGGTATTTTTGGGGTCATTAGGCACGATGAGACTTTTGGGGTGATTCGGTAGGAGGGTGGAGCATGCTTGTGAAAGACACCCCTCCATCTCAAGAGCTTCCCCGCCCTTTCCACTTGTGAGGACAGGGGACTGCCACTGTGAACGGGGAAGGGGCCGCCCCAGAGGGAACCTGCCCCACCTTGCCCTCGGACTCCCCAGGCTCCAGAACGCGAGGAGCAAATGCTTTTCAGATACCCTGTGCCTGCTTATCTGACTGGCCATCCACCTGCCTTTCTGGAAAACCAGGAGTCCACACCACTTCCTCCAATTCACACTCGACAGGATCTTGGGCTCCTCTACTTCCTGGCCTGACTGCTGCGAAGCCCGCTGGCCGTGGGTCTCGGCACACAGCCTTACTCAGCGCTCTGGGAAAGCCTATGTCCCCACTCCAGGGGCCCTTCTGGGCTGGCTATTGCAGCCTGGGGCCCCCCACCTGCACCAGCCAGCCTGCCTGTCAGATCCCAAAGGAAGGCTTTTCGCACCATAGGTCCTTCCCCATTCTCCAGCCAGGGCCACAACCGGGCCAAGTTGCCCTCCAGGGGAATTTGGACAGTGTATGGAGACATTTTGGGTTGTCACAATTGTGGGGTGCTAGAAGATGAGGTCCAGGCTGCAGCCCCACTGCTGACAAGGCCCAGGACAGGCCCACACAGACAAAATGTCAAAAGTGCTTAGACGGAAGACATAATATTCTCAGTCATTTCTATGTTGCTTTGGAAATTGTAATAAATTGAGAAAAATCTATGACAAAATCAATTTCACCTTAAAAATTGTGGGGCTATTAGAAAAATTGTAATTACAGATGCGGGGGTCACGCTGTAGCAGCTCCAGGAGAACCCATTAAACCTGGTTTACCCTTTTTAAAATGATATGGTTATTGAGAATTGTTGCCAAACTACTTCAAATGCTTCTACTGGGCACGTGTTTAGAATAGGCAGAAAAACAGAAACCACGCCCAACGTGGGGCTCGAACCCACGACCCTGAGATTAAGAGTCTCATGCTCTACCGACTGAGCTAGCCGGGCTGCGGCGGTGGCCGCGTGCACCCGTGATGGTGTGCTCGGCTGCAGCCCCGTGGTCACGCCCGGTGCGCACAGAAGCAGGAGTCGCGACACCGGGCCGCGGTAATCGCGCCTCTCGGAGCGGCTGCCTGCGGCCCCATGGGACTTGACCCAAGGCTGCGGGTCACTCCGCAGGATGAAACCCCCCAGCCTCCCCAAAGAAGGCGCCCGCCACCCGGCAGGGCGGCGCCTCCAGCCCGGTGGGCGCTGGCTACTCGCGGGTGGGGCGCTTCATTCCCTG